CGTGATATTTTTATTGCATTATTTCTAAATTTATCAAGAAATATCGTCACTTTTTAAAAATTACTTTATTATATTGACTTTTTGTATTATTTAATTAGTAGTTTTCAAATTGAGTTGAGTTTTTACAATTTAAGCAGTTATATTTGTAAATATCGCAGTTTCCATGTGGTCTGTTTCAAAAAATGAGCCATTTACAGCAGTGGGAACCTTGAGGCAAAGTAAAGTTTAGAAAAAATGCAACACTTCCTACCTTCTTATTGGCAGTAGTGAATTTCTGCCTATGTAATAACCTACTTACTATAGCTTTTTAAAATAGCACAGATGAAATCCTAAATGATGGCAATTTCTTAAAGCTAAGGGCAAAATATAGCTGTACATCTTCCTCGAAAGCAAAATTTACTCAGCTCGGAAAGGTCATAAAAACATTGTGCGTGTCAATCATTTATTGCCATATTAATCTCACTTGTAATCTATTTGTAGTTTATAATATCTCTAAGCTTTAATGCTAACTAGCAAGTAACAAGTACTTGCTTAGATCACGTTTCGAGGTAAGCTTTGTGTTCATCTCACTTTGTATAATTTTGTCCTACTTGTATTTCACTTAGTGATACACGTTTTCTATATCGGTTGATTACATTTTGAAAATTATGAACTTTTAGGAAAGGTGAAATGCTAAAGGTTATATTTTGTAGTCATATTGTCTTTAAATTTAATATTTTGTATAAAAAATTGCCTTGCGAAAATCAGAAAAAAATCAGAAAACATTAGAAATGATATTTTGCACATTCGTTTTTAATTTTACAAATGAAATATTCACTTGAACAAAAAATCGTTTGCTTTAGATTAGATTTACAGTCAATAATAAAATATTCAAAAAACCATCACACAATTATGAGCAACTTTGTAGCACAACTGTGTCCAATAACAATATAATTATCATTATTACTATCAGTGTGATTAAATTAGGGTGATAATTTCTTGTTTTCCATCCAGTTGATTATTAGTAATATCGAGATATTCGCTGTATTGGTGATTATTATTCCGACGATAAGAATAATCACTCAAATAACCAAATAAGCAAACAATAAAATGCAATATTATAAATATTCATACTATTGTAATATTATAATTATCCACTGCAGCCCACATGTATGTTGATAATTCTTGTTCACTCTCTGTTCAGTCAAAAAGATTAGATTTTAATTTTATTGTCTAAAATTATGCAACTTTGTTTTAAGAGACGAAATCACCAGTGACTTATAATTTAGAGATTTCTGTCACTTTGGTTTGTATTTCTGTAACTGAGTTAAAAATGTATATTTCATCTGAATCAGAGAGGAACTTTCAACTGCTTGAGTAAGCATAATTAAAACTGCGAAAGGTTTAAATCTATTATGAGAAATTTATCTTTTGTTTGGCATAGACAGCCTCCAACATTTCTTATTTCTACTGGTCAGATTTGAATTTCCGCAGCTAAAAAAGTTCTGAAATAGGTTGTCGAATCATATAAATATAATTCATTCTTTAATTTTTTTATACTTTCTGAATGTTCGTCATTGATCAGTTTTGCACTGATTACAACTTGCTGAAATCCCGCAGGCCATAATACTGTTAATTTTGGCATGATGTTTAGAGCACTGATGTCATGGTGCATTCTGATAGCAGTGGTTATGATTTTAAAAATTTCCAGTACTTTCACTGGAGTGGTATTTGCATTATAATAGTTTCTCCGTTTACTACTGTAAAGTAATAAGCTTTGCTTTAGTGGTCTTTGGTATGTGAAGCTGGCGGTACAGTAACCTGTGAGTCATACCTCTGTAATAATAGCTTGAGATTGAATTCCTCACAGTTTATGCGGAATTTTTGATCGCATACCTCGAAATTACTCCTGAATTAGTCTCGTTACATGGAATAAAAAATGCTTTTCTTGCACTAAAAATATGCATTGCTATCACTTCCATTTCTGACTTTCCAATTCTCAGAAGCAATTAAACTGAAATGGAATTTGTTCTGCTCCCAAAAGTCGTCTCTTCGAATTCATTCTTTGTATTATGCAAAGTGTGTTTTTGTCATTATTCCCTAATCCCCGTTCTTATCACCATACTTATCACTATCATTCATGGCTTTCAATTATTTTATCATCATTATCAGCTCTATATCACTCTTTCCAGAGTGTTATTATACTGCTAAGAAATTAACTTCTCTATCCTTTTCATCATGCACTTTTTTGCTCTGAAACATTTTTGAATACAGAAATAGATCAGCTCAGTTCTTTAATTAAAATTAGATCAAATTCTTATTACTGAAGATATTCAAAAAGTTGATCTACTTGTTGCCACGATCAAATTCGCGAATATTTTCTCAACATCTAAACTTCGCAAACTTTGTAATGCTCACTCAGCACCGACTTGCTTGATTAATGACTCTGAACGCATTAGTGATATTCACTCGCTGCCACGCGTGTTCGTTCAATCATTATCGGAGATGTGTATCTATCTAAGCGAACGTTACGCATTCACTCACTGCCATCGCTGCTGTGCTTCACTCTAATATTATTCATATTGAATACGCAAAATATTTTCTTTTCAAATTGCCAAATATTGTCATTAATCAAAGGGACTCGCTGAGAGAGAAGTGTGTTAACTAACTGTGAAATATTTGAATTTCTATTTTTCATAAATTTTCTCAGTTGCTCGCAACATTACATTTAACATCGAAAGAAGCTCACAATTTGTCATTTTCACTCTTATTTAGTGTCATTGAAATTATTGATTTATTATTTATTGAGTTACTACCAGGGTTGACTTGTGTATGAACTCGAGCACTGACTGGAGCAGTATTCATTTTCGGTATTCTTAATTTATTGATTCCCAATATTTAGCACAGTCTAAATTAAATCTATTTAGCACTCGCAGTATGTTATGGAAAATAAAATTTTACACACGTGATCCGCCTATTTAATTCATTTTTTGATCAAACTAGAAATTTATTCTTTCATTTACTCTTAATAGAATGGTTTTAAATTTGCAGTTTTATTTTGCTTATTTCGAAGATGCAAAAGTTTATTTTTCAATTTTTGGCGTGAATTTATTATGTAAATATAATTTTGTCTGCATTCTGTCAAATAGCTTTGAACTGTGTTTCAGAGCTATTTGATAAGTTTCTGGAATTCTACTCTGACACCAAATATATCTTCAATAAGATTAAGATGGGGGAAGAGCACGAAATAAGTGACAAATCAGGGAAATTTTTCTCTAGCAGTGATATATGTTTTTATATTAAAAAATATATAATCAGACGGAGCTATTTAATTGAATAATATTTATTATGTTTTGGAACAATTTATGCATTCACCGTTCGCTTCAGTTAATTAACTTCTTGTGATAGTTATAAAATGCATTATCAGTTTGTCATTTGTCCAAATTAAACAAATATTTGCTATTTGATAAGATGGAAGTAGGTTGCATTTGTATAATTTAATAGTAAAAGTCGTTAAATATTTGTGTTTCAGAAAACAAATTTGGAATGTGAACTGTGTTCAAAAATCAGAAAATTATAATATTTTGTGATGCAAAAATTCAAAATTACGAGAATTTTGCAGTTTTTTATTCATCAAAAATGAATGAGCGCGTAACTCACTGCAACTTTCGTTATTTAAATAAAAATTGTCCTGATACTAATCAAATTATCAGCAACACTGACAGTGGCGGAGGTGCTAGTAATAAATAAATAAATAAATCGCAAACGGCAATTATTTGGTTTTTTTGCGGAAATTGGTCACATTTAGTGTCAAATTAGTTTGAAAAATGGTCGTTGTAATTTGTAATGTGCGTGAATTATTTTCTTTGCATTGCAACAAAGCAATAGAAACAGAAAGCACGTAATTTGCATAATTTCTTTTTTTGCTTTATTAAAGAATCGCCATTTATTATTGCGTTATTAACTTTCATTTTTACTTAAAATATGAATTGGAGAAAGTACTGAAGAAGAAACTTACTGCACTTAAAAAAGCAATACACATTGACAACTTACTACTTTCAGTACAAGTACGAATTAGCAGTCGTTATTACTTACTGAAAGATGCTCTGCTCATTACAGTATTCATTTTCTACTTCAGTAGAGTGACAGGCTGAAAAGGGTGAACTTTTCCAAGAGTGTGGATAAAACCAAGTGTGCTAACTGTGAAAGAAAAAGCAGGCTTTTTGCTCTTTGTTAGACATGCACTGAATTGCAAATCAGCTTCGTCGCTATTAACATTTTATCTTTTAATTTGATTTTTTTCTTCATGGCGGGAAATGCATTTCGTTTATTTTTTGTCTTGAAATCGATTGAATCCGCGGCAAATACTTCTGAAAGTTTGAGAATTCTATAAGTTTGCTTTCTTCCTTGCACATTTTGGTTGTTTGTTGTAGAAAAATTTGCATTCTAGCAGACATGTATATTGTTTGATGCGAGGCTAATTACAGTAATACCAACAGTACCCTTTCAGTATGGTGTAATTTTCAATATTGTTTATTGCTACTTCATTATTTGCTCTATTAATAATTACCTCTTCAGTTAATAATGCTCAGTAATGTTGCTGTAAACTGGCATTGTTTTCAAATTTGACTGTTTATTATTTCAAATTATTAATAGCTGTCAGTTGATCGGAAATTTTAGGTACAATTGACGCACTTCTAGTGTCTGTTTGAATGATTACATTGATTTGAAAATAATTCATCTTCAAGCTATTTGATAGTATTTTTGATTGGTTTAAATCCAAAATTAAGCACTTATAAGATTTGTTGAACTGGTAAATCATTCAGTATTTCTTACTACAGCTTATTTAATGCTTACAGGAATTCCTGAGTTCAAGATAATTTAATGAGTTCACAGCTCGAGATTACAATAAACTTTGTTGAGCTTCTAAAATCTTAATTAACTTACAGGAATTAATAGCTCCTGGACCGTTTGAGCGCAACTGGCGAGGCATAATTATTGCTTTGATGGTAGTGACCGCCATGTGTTTGCTTATCGTTGCCGCAGTGCTAATCATCACTCCATGTAAGTAACTTCTTGATATCGTGAGTTAATGCTAAAGTTTGCATTGATAAAGTGCAGCTGATATAATCACGTCTCCATTTCGAATTATATTTTGCACATTCAATTACAACATTTTTGATTATAAGCATGAAATTTAACTAGCGAATATCTTACGATTCTGCCAAGTATGCTTGATGATTTTTCAAAACTCGTGTTTTCTACGAGTATACAGTTGTACTTATACTGTTTTGACACCACCAAAGAAAGTAAAATAAGTTATTTAAAATCGTTAAATTTGGAGAAAAATGCTTAAAAATCAGACTTCCAAAATTTTTGTTTTGAATAATTGTTCCTCCAAGTTGTTCATTAATTAATTAGTAGTTATGAATATATCAGAATTGATCATTTACTACGGATAATATTCAACTGTAAATGATAACAACAGAGTATACATAGTTACAGTCAAGTGATATGACTTTTTGTGGTTGTATCATTCCGAAAAATTTTCAGATTAGATACTGAGATATAAGTTGATACTGATGTGATAGTTTCTTCATTTAATCTTCTGTTTCTGGTGATTGTCTGCAAATGATAAACTTATGTATACTCTGTTGTCATCATTAAGAGCAAGATTAAGATATGCTACCATTCTATGACAAATATGATTTTACATGGTTATTATGTATCTAATGATTTCTGGCAGACCAAAATATAACTATAACCATAAAAGTAATCAATACTTACAAGGATGTCCTTGCATGTGGGAAGTGAGCTCAGTTTTGATTTGATGGAATCTCGGAAAACACAGCTAGTAAATAAATTTATCTATTGTGGAATGGCTTTCTATCCATTGAACTTACCTTTAAATTTTGAGTTATTTATTTATACTCTAATCATTGCATTAGAATCAACTTAGTGATCGGAACAAAAGCTCTGTATTTATTGGTACAACAGATGGGATGACTCTTGACCTTTACATTGTTAATGATTTAAAAATACCATCTAGTTCTGGAATATTCATTTGAGTTGTATTTAGATACATCTCAATAAAAGATTTTCCAATTACTTTTTAATTTTTTTGACTTTTTGATTAAATTCATTCATAAAATTTGGAAAAATAAATTATATAAATTTGAAACATTAAATACAAACGTTGCATTAAATCATTTTTCTAAGCTTTTGGATCGCTTCAACTCAGCCAGACGATCTGACTGCGTTGTATTTGTATTTAAGTAAACTCAATTTTTCAATTATGAATAGTAGCAATCGTAATTTTATCTGTTCACATTATCTCCCGGATTGTTATTCAATATTTTTGTGTTAAGAGGAATGCTGCAAATTTTTCAATATCAAAACAATTATTGATAACTTTTATATCCAAAATAATTATCTTGCCTCAAAACTGATTCTTAGCTTTGAGTATTAAAATCTGATCTTTAATATATATTCCGTCAATTTAAGCTCATTTTTTTAGTCAGTTTTGGTGGGATAAGCAAGCAAATGCCATTAACACTGACTGATATTACGGATAATACCTTGTTGGGTTCGGTAGAATCAATGGAATGGTTGGATAGTGATCAAATTGTGATCAAAACTATCGATTCTATCAAAATAATCAATACTTCAGGACTACTGATGACAACTAATTACTACACTCGAAATGATGCCTTAGTTAGATACATCATGAATCTTTATTGTCGCATAAATGAAAACAAAATGGCAATCGAACAATTTCTTTTTAAATTAATTTGTCTTCGCTGTAATTTCAGATAGTTATAAAAAGATTGTTTAAAACAGTTAACTTTCGGTTCCGATAAATTTGAAGTTATTTAAATTAGATCAGAGGTGCAAGAATCGCTCGCAGAATACTGAAAAATTTATTCAAAAAATTTGTAGAACAGACAAGGACGTGTTAGTCAGTTTAGTTTTTCGCACGATGGTTTTTACATAGCTCTCGCGTACAACAATGACGGAGTAAATTTTCAGTTAATCAAATTTTTTGTTTAAAAATAAATAATTAAAAGTAATAAGTAAATAGTAATAAGTAAAGTAATAGTAAGCAATAAGTAATTAGTAATCGGTCGAGAATTCAAAATTGAGAACATTCAAACATATTTGTCATTTAAAAATTTTCAAACTCTGACAGAAAAGCACAAAAAAGATATTACAGAGGATATTACTTTTATAACTTTGAGGATTATTTTAAAGAATAATTAGATTATGTGATGATTTGTTTAAAATATTCAAACTAATTTCATATAATTCGTTATGAGAATTGTTATTTTTATTTTAGTAAATGAGAATTATACAAATGACTAATCACTATCGATTTCATTACTATGTAAATCAAATCTGAAATAGTTCAGATTTAGATTTTCACATCAATACACTGTTTAATTGGTGGAGTAAACCTAGCTCTGTGAATGGTAATCATAGATTGCATAACTGATTTTCAGAATGGTAATGCTGCAGTCCATCGCATCTATTCAATAAATTCCTTGTTAGTTTTGTTTTCAATGAGTCTCTTTTTTTAGTAGAAACTTCCTCTGATATTTAGTAGTAACAATTATTCGTCCACCGACTAAAGTTCATCATATTTTTATTAATAAGTTTTTGTCAGAGTTCAGCTTGTTATAGAACATTTGAACCGATTGGTCCGGAACGAACAGGTGATGAATTACTGCAAACATTCGTGTGGAACCCAGCATCCAATGATTTTGTAAGCATTATTGCAACTACAAAGAATACATTTTCTTTCGTAAAATTAAAATGATAAAATGATCAGTTCTATTTAATTTGTAATCTGACAATTACAAATAGCGAACTGCAACATCTCACCTTTGACTTTTTTCAGAGCTGATTTATTTTCATTTAGTTGGTTGTCTTGACAAATAAGTGCTCAAACATTTTTGGCATACAGTTTCAGTACACATTGCAGTTATTTTGGTGATGGGATGGATGCAAATATAGATAATCCAATACTAACTCCAGCAAAATTTTGTAATTAAGCAAATTTTAGTACTGTATAGCTCTTTGCAGGCATTTGTTCATAGCAATGACATTTATTACTGTGAAAAGCCTAAAAACGGACAAGTACACAGAATCACTCGAGACAGTCACACTTTCATATACAACGGTGTTGCTGATTGGATTTATCAGGAGGAAATTTTCGGCAATAATGTGGTTTGTTGGCAGTCAAAAAGGCGTTCACTGTTTTGTAATTACGTGATTATTCTTTGAAGGTATCTTTAGGGCTTGTGGTGGTCTAAATCGGGTGATTACTTGGCTTATATCAGAATTGATGATCGTAAAGTGCCTCAAATACAGTATCCATTATTCTATCATCAGCAATATCCAACAATTAACAAGATACCGTATCCTAAGACGGGTGTAAAAGAGTTACCAGAAGTAACTTTGCATATTTGGAAGAAAAGAACTAGGCAATCTCGAGAAATGAAGATTTCAATTCGACGTCAAAGGTTATTTTCGTAATATTGTCTTAGCCGATAAATTATGAAGGAAATTCTGCATTCCATTAAAAAGGTAACCTCTTTTTTATAATTTTTGGAAGAAATATAGTGATAATAATTGTTATTTTGTCTAAATTGTCTAAATAACAAAGTAATTATCAATAATGATAACGGAGATAACAATAGTATTATTATTATTATTATTATTATTATTATTATTATTATTATTATTATTATTTATTATTATTATTATTATTATTATTATTATTATTATTATTATTATTGATACATTGCCTTTGTAAGGTTAAGAATGATGATGATAATCATATTATTTTATTGATGAGAATCTGATGGTAGCATCCTCATTTATAATTTGAATGATGAATTGAATACTGGTGATAATGTGAATAAAAATAGTGGTAATCATATTTATTACAACAATGATATCGGCAGTAATATTGAAGCAACAAAAAGAAAAGTACGTATGAAGCGAGTAGTGAATCAAGTAACTATTTTTTCAGTCTAATAACTTACCTGTTTTCTGCATCGTGGATATCTCTTTATGGCAAAGATTTGTTGATGGCTGTCTTCGCCAACAGATACCAAAATATCTCTTCGATTACAATTTGTACCTTCGACTCCGCGCAGTGTCTATTGGTAGATTCATTTTACTTGTTTATGCTATAAACTCAGAACGTTATTGAAATTCACAAACGATGAAAAGAAATGAACTGCAAAAAATTTAGTCAGAAAATTTGATTATCTTTACTTTCAAAAAAAAAAACTTTTTACTTGAAAGTTAGTGAATATTTTTTATCTTTCAAGAATAATTTTCTGTGAAAACTATCCGCACATCATTTATTTCAGTACTTTTATATCTCGATAAAGTAATTTCAGTCTTTTTCTTTTTTGCAATTATCTCCGTGACTTAAGTTTTACATCTCGATAATTAATGCTAAATTTAATTGCATCCAGTTTAAATACAGCGTTTGATTTGATTTTTTTCAAATTTTCAGAATTACGATCAGCACTACAGCATTGCTGGACACAGTCTTTGGGCTGAACCTGAAGATCATCGCATAAAATATTATTCTAGTGATTCATACTTTATCAGTTTGCCAAGCTATTCAGCATCTGGTGGAATATTTACACAAATTGCTAGAGTTACCGTTCCTGTAAGTACACATTTACGTATTTGTAAAGGCTCATGTGATATGAATTTTATTACTTGCAGGAAAATCTCACCAACGGACGTGTGATGTTTCTCACGTCAGGTAGTTATGACGTTGCAGCAATTGTTGGTTATGATGAAAAGAAAGAACTTGTGTAAGTTGTGTACTGTTGGCTTTAATTTATCAAAGAAAAGTTGCATTTGTTAAGGTTCTTTATTAGCAATAAGGTTGATTTTGTTATTTCAAGCGAGATGAAAGTAATTCACATTATTTCTGCTTGATTCAAGGATTGTCTTCGTTATTTCAGAGAGTCAAGTCATAGATTGACTTCTAAAAAAATTATTGCAGATACTTCATGGCAGCATCGCCACTGCCGTCGCAGCGACATCTATACGTCACATCTACTAATTCAGTAAGCATAACTTTAGTCTGACTTAATCAGAGATCATCTTTATTGAGCGATAAATAAATATGAAAAGAATATAAAGAAGTAGTATGCTCTGTGCAAGATTTCTTATTTTTTATTGGAAAATTTAGTAAATTTGTTTTACTTCTACGATAAAAATTTTCTAATTAAATTGTGTGCAAAATGAGATCGTTTTTAGAGCAGGAGTAAAGCTGTTAATGGTGACAATGTGGCAATTTGTGTAACTTGCAGCATTGCTCCGAATTGTACGTTTCAAGACGTGATGTTTTCACGTGATATGGATAAATATATCTTGAGTTGTAGAGGTCCTGGTACTCCTCGAGCTTACCTATCGTCTATCTCATCCAATAATTCATTAAGTAACTACTATATTTTTTAAACCTAATTTCAGAAAGTAGCACTTATTTTCAACTTCTGAAAGTCATAATCAATTTTATTTCTTTCAACATGAAAATATACGGGTTATTTATTTTTTTATTTGACTTCTGAAAACAAATTAAGTACTCTCTTCAACCTTATCCTACTCCTTAATTAATAAATTGGTGATATTAGTAGTAATAGTAAATCATTAATATTTAATTTATAATTTTGTTTGCATTAACATTTCGTACAAGAAAGAGTTAACATTTATTATTTGCCAGCTGAAGAGCTGACGGATTGGGAAAAGTTGAATCAACGCTATAATGAAAGAGCACTTGCCACTACTCGATTTGAAAATATCACCTTGCGCAGCGGATATGGTAGAAAATTTCCGTGTATTTTATTAATTTCTCTAATTTTTGCAATAATTCAGTTCTCAGTGATTATCGGATGATATAGTAATGATAATGTTATTATTAATACCAATATTTATGATAGAGATAATTATTATTATTAATGATAGCAGTAATAACTATTACTATTAGTAGTTGATATCAGTAACTGAAATAATTAAAGTAAAGTAGGCGTTAACGATTATTTATTGAAAGATCTACTTCCTCATGCAGTATAATGATTCGAATGGAAAAACTGAGAAAAGTTGCAGTTGCGAGAGTGAAAATGTTACTTCCATCAAATTTCGACCAAACCATATTGGATGCTAAATATCCAGTAGTTGTTTCTGTGTTAGTGATTCTTACCTTTTTTCCCGAATATTTCTACGTCTTTTGTATTCTACTTTGACTCAAACCTCACATGAATTAATTTCCATATGTATTTTAATTTTTGTTTTTGTATTCATGATTGGCACAAATAATAGCAAAATAAGTATTTTTTAATTCCCTAGTTGTCTCAAATTTAAAGTTTTGTGTCGGCACAACAATTTGATTGCAGATATGCTGGACCAGGCTCTCAAAAGGTCACGGAGGAAATGACTCCAAATACATTAGATATGTTTTTAGCATCTAACGTCAAATATGTTGTTGTTTTTATTGATGGTCGAGGTTCTGGAATGAGAGGTTGGAAATACAAAGAACCAATATATGGCCATCTTGGTTCAGTAGAAGTTGATGACCAACTTGAAGCAACAAAGTTTGGTTTTGGCTTTTAATTTTTCTGTAATTTTTTGAAGATACATGAATTTAAAATGTTTTGGAGAACTTTTCAACATCTTTTATATTTAGGATTTTTCATTAATTGGTATCTATCTCAACTTCGTGATGCTGAATTTTCACACATGGTTAGGGGTAACTTTAAAAATCTTATTCAATTAATGTTTTTTTCAATATTTTGGTTCTTATTTTCCATTTATTTTTCAGAATATTGGCTGCCAAACATCACTTTATTGACTCCAAGCGAATCGCAATTTGGGGATGGGTAAGTAATCGTTCATCATTTTCTAGAAGTATTTTTTTGAAATTTTGGGTCAAGTTACCATGTAATACGTGTGATATTCACTGCTCTCTTCGATATATCCTTTATTGCAGTCTTATGGTGGTTTTGTGGCAGCTCACGTAGTTGAGCGTGATACCAAACAAATATTCAAATGTGCTGTTAGCATAGCGCCAGTAACTAATTTCAAGTTATATGGTAATCTTAAGTATGAAAAATAATAGCATTTACTGATAGATTTTGTTTACTCTCTCATTAGCATTGCTTTATCTAAAATAATAAAAATGTTTCTAATTAATTTATTTTTAAGTTATTAGAGAACATTACTGAACTAGTGGATCAGTAACGTAATCGGTTAGTAAAAATATTTACATTAAGTTCTAAGTTAGTTTATAAATTACTGATAGTTCAGATTACTAATATTGATATTCCGCTATAATTTTATGATCAGTTAACATGTTTTTAATATTGCTTTTAAATTTTCGAAAATATAATAAATAATGATTAGTTCATTTGAATTTTTTCGAAAACACCAGCTCTGCAAAAATAAAACAAATATGTGTATAAATCTCTAATAACAATATTTGTTCTTTGAAACTCGTAGACGCAACGTACACGGAACGTTATATGGGAGGAGCGAGTGAAATTTCATATGAACATGCTAGTATTGTTAAGAATGTTACAATGTTCAAACGGGTCATGTTTCTTCTCGTACATGGGATAGCTGATGGTAAGAAAGTGATTTGCGTGTGACACATATATTATCTACTGACAGCAAATATTGTTATTAGATTTGAGCACTTTTCAAAAATATTTGTTGTTGACAGAAGAAGATTATTATGTAAGCAATGTTTCGAAGTGGGTGGCAGAGTAAAAGTCTGAGATGCAAGTGTAGGACAAACGGATGGGGCAAAAGCTGTGTGTACAGTAAGGATATGGGTCTAACTTATTTGAGCTGCAGAAAAAAGTCAACTATACTCTTTTACTATTACACATTTTGATGGTCAAGTATATTTTCGATGAAAAGACAAATAATTTTTTGGTCAAAAGAATCATCGTGTCAAATACAATACTGATCAAATACAATATTGATAAAGTGTTCTAAAATCTATTTTCAAGTACAATGTATCTTGTTTGCAGCAAAAATTTACTCATTTTTGTAGATAATGTGCATCTACAGAATTCCGCTCAACTGATTCGAGCACTCGGTGAAGAGAACATACAGTTTCAGTTGATGGTTTGCATTCATTTACTTCAAGATTTGTTTGAATAAAATTATCACTCTTGATGACTTGGTAGTTTGAAAGATTTCAAGCTTGAGTTAGAGAAGCTTTTGATGCATTTGCTTGGAGCATTAATTTTTTATTATGCGTTATTGCTCTCCACAATCCACATGTGTACCGCACTTGCTTCGAAGCACCAAAATAAAAACAAATCTTATTTATTGTTCTCATTTAATGATTATTGTTTTAGAAAAATTGTTTTTTCTGCTTTCCAATTATGTGTAAATATGTAAAACTTATTTACGTATCAACAGTTTATAGTTCACGTTTGATGGCTAAAAAATTACCGTATTAGATAATGCAATATTTTTGAATTTGCAATTGACTTTAGCTACACAAGAATTACTTTAGTGTTTTTAGGTATATCCAGATGCAAGTCACAGTCTGATTTGGTCTCGACTTCATTTGTTCACTATGCTGATCGAATTTTTTGAAAAATGTTTCCGGCGCTAATGAAATTTCAGAGTAACAATTACGAGACTTTTCTGCTACTAGCACAGATATCCAACTATTCGTACGCTAAAAAAACTGAAAAATTACAGAAATATTGACTATGCTAAAGTTAACTGTGTTCATCCCTCATTCTTTGAAGCATTTTTGAGCTAACTTTTTAAATTTACTGTAATAATCTTTTCGATTTCATTATTTGCTTCATTTGTATTTTTTCTTTAGCTTATCAAGTTCGTTGCGATTTCTTTGCTTAGTTATTCATATCATACGGGGTTGATGCTAAACATATTACATGTGTATTCAATGTTGCAGATAAGTTATTTACTTATATCAGATAATTTTTTTATGCATATTGAAATATTTAATTGACAGTCTTTATTCGCTACTTTGATGTATAATGTGTGGAGAGTTGTGTTCAACGATCTCATATATGTTACTTTAAGTTATGATTTTAAACTTTGTGTCTTCATAACTTTTAATCTATTACATTTATGTTAGTAAGTATTTAAGTATCGAAACTAAAGTAGACTTTCATCTCCAAGTGAAATGAGGATTTTTCGATTTTGAATCCTTCTCGTTATTTGAAATAAACTTGATAGCTTCATGAAATCCAAATGTTCACAAATTTTAAACTCAAAAATTCTCATTTTTTGGAAATTGTTGTATACTATTATGAAGCTAATAAACGAACAATGCAACTTAATGTCCTGCAAAAATTTCTGTAGTTTTTTAAATTTACGTATAAATTGGTTTCGGCTTCATGTTAATTAATCTGAACAGCGAAAGTGAGATTTTCTAAATTAATTGGACTCATCCAGGTACTACAGTATCGCTACTTGATAAATTAAATCTCATAATCCACAATTACAGAGCAATTACTTAACTGCCCATATTCTCCTTGCTGATCATAACGACACAAACATGACCATCAATTCGTATTTTGAACAGCGAAAATTCACCATATTTATGTACTGCATGCAATATTTCAAGCAAATTTCTTCTTTTAATTTAATAGTAGCCCTAACAGTAATTTTTTTAGCGATAATTCAACTCTTCGGTCCCAATGATCACATTTTAACTTTGCGCATTATATATAATGTATCGATTGGATTTATATTGAAGAGAAAAGTAAAGTCAGAAAGTAAATTGTGAGAAAGTAAATTCAAATTTTGGACGGAAACAAATTGAAATTAAATTCCATACCTCCCAGTTGAAGCGAATAATTATCGTTCATATTAACACTTGCAAAAGCCTTCTTTGTATAAGTGAAATAAAAACTAAAGGAATGGTAGAAACAAAGTTGGGATTAAATAAATGCAAAAGTAAAAGTCGGTGTAGATCGTTTATGCGCGTAGAAGTGTCAATATTCTCGAATCAGTAACTGCAATAGTAGCAATTAGTTACTACCAACTGATAATGAAGCTAGAAAGTCATCTTGTATCAGCGGAATCTTTCGTGAATTCCGTAGGCCTTATTGTGTTGCGAATCTCTTCCTAAGAACATCACATCACTACTTACGACCAGTAGCATCCTGACTTCAAATCGAATGTTAATTCATAGTATTTAATGTTTCATTATTTGAGCTGCGTTAAATGTTGCATCAGTTTTCATTGTAGTTCTCTCAAGGTTTCTCGCTTCTTCATGTTTATTTATTGATGTCTAGAATTGCCTTACTTGTATGCATGTTTTCAGTATTTGTAATTGTAAGCTAAGTCAACTCCTGTGTTTTCCTTAGATTCATACGAAATCTAGAAAGCATGAGTGTTACGGCTTTCCAAATTTTAGTGATCTTTCTAGTCATTACATATTATTTTCTAGGAATGTGTCCATACTAGTCATTAAAGTGTGGTATTGAAGGAGTGATTGTGATTATGTGAATTAGTAAACTTCTGATACTATGAATTATATACTTTTTATGTATATCCATGAAAGGTCTAACATAGCTTATCCGGCAAATTGTTGAAAATATTTTTCACTTGTACATACATCATACGAAAGCTTTTTTATTTCACTATGAATTGTCGGAATTCTTTTTCATTCATTTGTTGTTTTTTGTGTTATGAATAGAGTATCTTCTATCCATTGCATATTATTTTATGGATAGAAAATATTTTACAGATATCTACAAAAGTAATTCACAATGCCGGATACTGATTTTATTATGAAATGTCGTGGTTTACCATGGTCATGCACGGAAGATGATTTGCGTGAATTTTTCGGAGGTTTGTAAGTTTGATTTTCCGTTTAAATTATGATCCATGACTACTAGTGGAAAAGTCTGTAAATATCAAGGGTAATGAAAACAGAAAAGATTTTATATACTTTTATGAAGTATTTATGAGGAGATTATTGATATATTGTTTAGCGAATCCGCCATTGCTTTGGTGTAAAAGTTCATTTTTCTTGAGTAAAACGGATCAATAAAAATTATGCTTGAAAAACCCCTGTTCATTTGTTTCTTTTTCTCTTCCATTTATCAAAAGATCGCTTAATCATCTCGTCTATATTTTATTTTTTACTATTTTTACTTACTAAAACCTTTCTTTCAGAAACTGCAAAGTCAATCACTGAAATAAAGCTAACAAAAGATCGTGATGGGCGTGCAAGTGGTGAAGGATACGTTAAATTCAGCAGTCGAGAAGATTATGATTTGGCTTTAACAAAAGATAAGCAGTATATTGGTAGGCGATATGTAGAGGTTAATTTTGTTATATTTTTGACTTGTCTTTCATGCTGTACTCTCCCCTGTTAAATTGGCTGTAATTCTGGATTTGGTTTCTTATTACTTCAAGTTGAAAGGTTATTGTAAATTTGAATCAAAATATATAATAAAATTCATTGAATTTTAACGATTTAATTTGAAAAAAGGAAAAAAATAATTGTTAAATTGAATGTACTTTCTGTTATACAATTATCAGAAAAACTTGTTTTCTTTAGATAATCGTGTTCCAGTAGGGTTATTTGAATGTTTTCGTTTTTTTCAATATCTTTTAATTTTATGGTGCAATAATTACTCAGCTACTTTTCAGCTTTATTCTTTACTTTTCATCACCACCTTTTTAATGAATTGTTTTTAACAAACACAATTTAATTGGTTTTCTGAAGCATTACCTAGTATCGACTGCATTTCATTGAGATGTTTTTTATGGTTACTTTTAAGCTTCAACAAATACCATCCATCGATTTTGATTACGATGATAGTGATAGGCGATCTAATGGGCCTCCATTAGATCCAAATTTACCAAATCGAGATGCATGTATTGTTAGACTGAGTGGATTGCCATATGGATGTACTAAAGAGGAAATTGTCCGATTTTTTGAGCCACTCGAAATAGCTGAAAAAGGTATTCGTAATTATGATTGGTAAATTTTGTTTTCGACCCAAAGTTCTCTTATTCTACAACTAGAAAAAAAGCTGATTTTTTTTTTCTTCTATTGTTTTGTTAAATATTCCCAAAATCATTTGTATGCCATTGGAAATTTCCATGGAATATATCATAAGAGCTAATTTTATTGCTATTTCATGCTAGAGAAATAGAACAGGAGAACTATTGTTCGAAAAAAGGGTATTATTTACTGCGTTGTTGGTATTTTTAGGTATTATAATGACGTACGATCGTTATAGTGGGAAACCGAAAGGAGAAGCATTTGTCGCATTTATTAATGCTGATTCTCTTTCGAAAGCCCTTGCTAAAAATAAGGAGTATATACAACATAGGTGCTGATTCTTTTGTTAGTACTCTTATTGAGCAGTACTATTAATATTTCATATATCAATCAAAATATGAAGAATAGTTGTTAATTCCTAACTTTACTGATTCTCATTATGTTATAGGTTTGGATTTACAGATTAGTCTCAGTTTGTAATTCTGCTACTTGCATTTTTCAAATCATTCATTTGACTTTCTTCTTCCTTAAGATATGTGGATATATACCCATCATCGTATGCTGAAATGATTCGAGTTTTGGATGGAGGGCCTGATCCGTATAGTGGTGGAAGTCGAGGATGGGAGAGAGATCGACGACCTAGAGGATTACCTTATGATCGTCCTGTTGGTGGTCGAGGTTTTAGTCGTACTGATTCCAGAACTCATCGCAATGGTTGGTCTACATTTAGAATTTTGTAGATTAATATGAGACATAAATATTAAACAAGAACAAAATGCGAAGATTTGGTTAAAGGAAAATTGCTTATTAATCAAACCTAAGCATTGGATACATTGGTGAATCATAATGAGGGATCTGGAAATTTCGAGGATCGCTACGGGCATGAAAGTGTTCGGAAATCTGCTCAGCACTGGTTCTGTTTTGGGTATTAAATGTGAATGTGAACGGGGGGTTGCAGAAGTATGGGTCAACAGATATGGTGGTGGTGGCGACGGATATGATGATGGGTACGGTGGTGGACGTAGTGGTGGTGGACCTATGCGACGGGGTTGGAGAGATGAACCGCCGTCCGGTGGCCATAGGGGGTATTCATCACCACGGCGTCGGTACACGCCGCCGCCTGAATATTGCATACGAATGCGTGGCCTTCCATTTCGGGCGACAGAACGCGACATAATCGATGTAAGTTGTAAAAGTAAAAAATATGTTTACCTACCTTGCAAATCAGAAAAGTAGCTGCTAGGCGATCATCGGTATCTGGAAAATGACTGTTAACGTCGATTGTTATGGAATGGTTGCTGGTATTCAGCTTGCATTTCTGAACATTCTCTGCATAGGTTCAGCTTAGGTTGTCTTCTTTCGCTTCAGTTTTGTAATAATTTGTTGGCCCTCGTCATTATTTCTTCATTGACGTTATTGATAATTCAGTTTTTACAATCACGTATCCAAGAGTCGGATAACTGTGCAGGGTTGCAGAGTAATCATTCATTAAATCAGTTTCAGTGAAGTTATGTTTAAAAAAATCATACTTGCGCCAAATTGTTTGTAATAGCAGGGCATAGTTTATAGTGATCAGCCACATGGTCAGCAGTTTCTACATTAGTATAAATGTATGATTGTTCTAATTTTTCTTTTCTGTGTATTTCCTAGAGCACTTTTATTTAGTTTTTCCAACCAATGCGACCAGCTTCGATTGATGTGTTATATGAATATGGAACAGATCGTCCTAGTGGTGAAGCGATTGTCGAGTTCAGAAATCATGCAGATTTTGATGCTGCTATGCAGCGTAATCGAAATTATATGGGCATGTATTTTTGGCCATCTTAGAACTTCAAAACTCCCATATTTTAAAATTTTGTTAGAAATTATTATGCCAAAGTTAGATTTAGTTGAAGTTAAATTAGATCTGATATTTTTAGGATAAAAGAAGAGTACATGGATGGGAAACAATGACTTTTTTAATTCAATCTAGTCAAGAAGCAAATCATTGCATTGTTTCCATATTGCTTGTGATTTCAAGATTTTTGTTTATTTCAGGTTCACGTTACGTAGAGCTTATTCCAGAACACTGACACATTACAAGGCTGTGAAATTCTTTCGAATTTGGAGATACAGAAGTTGACCATCTACCGCTGTTACCCGCTTCCATGTTTTAAATTTTTTGAAATTTACTCTTCAGAAATAGTTTTAACAAAAAAATATCATTTATAAACTTCTTAGTTTTTGGATTTTAAGGAGACAGATTTGCTGCTGAGCTTCTAATTTGAAAATTTAGAAAATGAAATTGTTTATTCCACTGTTTTTGGATTTTCCATCTGACTAATGAGTTTGAATATGCTTCTTTATCATCATGTGGCTCTACATTAAGTTGTTTCTGGCAGCGTGTTTCTCAAAAATAATTCATAATTTTTTCAGTGTGTTGTTAGTCTTCATAGCAACTCATGATTATTACTGTGTATATCTTCACTCAATTCCTCATCAAGATGTATAAAAGGTAGATATTCGGTCACATGATTCCAATCATTTAATAAAGTGTTTAGCACCTCACTGTGCTTGGTCTGAAGTGACTTATTTATCATTATTCTTCTATAGGAATGCAGCTTGCTATTTGATGATACGAAAATAGAAAATGCGTAAGTTTGTGTACTCTAAGAGTTCAGTATCATTGAGTGTGGTTTATAATTTTTTTGGGAGCCAGTAAAGTCAGAATAATCGTGATACGTGGTAGACATTCTAGGTGTTAGAAGTCTGGATCTACACTAATTTCAACGTAATTAAGAGTTCCTAGTATTCTAATTTATTGGCTATATATGCAGAGATTACAAAGTGTTTTGAACCACCCAAGGATCATTTTTTGTTGCAACTGAGCACCAATGTGATTCACTGACAAATAGGGGACAGTTGAGTTAGATCTTCTCTTTGCGATATTGATCAAATGCTTACTGGTTCGAATGCAGTTGGACTGGTTTACTGGGCAGAATTCATCATTCGAAGAGATAAGAAAAACTAAGGAACTAGTATAAGATTGATGTAGAAATAGATAACTGGAGACGACTATGTACTTGAATGTTGCTCGCAAGCATGTAATGTTGTGGGTTTGTAGTAGAAGTCTCCTTGAAATGGTCGCTGAGATTATCTGCTGAGCTTAAAGATGATAGAGATTTCGATCTTGCGTCAATTTTTTGCTGATTGAAACTAACCCTATCAAAGATCGTGAAGTAACTTTAATAAAACAGAGGTAGTTGTGGAAAAATATCAACTTTCACTAGATCACTCTACTGTAGGACTGCAGTGAAGTTCAAAATATGAAATATGTGGATTTGTGAGTCCTTGCATACAAACTCGAGAATACATCAATGCTTAAATGCTCTCCGAAATCGTGCATCATTGGCTTCTTGTTGTGCTAATGTGAATAAGATTTTATATAGACGAGAGTCTTAGTAATCATTATTGCTTATATGAAGACTAACGTGGTTACTAAATTATTTTGAGGCTATGAACTATTTACATTATGAGAAGGCTCTGTGTTTTCTCAGTGCTATGATGGGAGATCGCATGCATAAAACTCTGAAGTTTATTAAAAATGAAATGAACATAAACAATTTTATTTCGCATTATCTTAGCTTACATTACTTCTATACTGCGAGGAAGGGACATTTTTGATTGTTCCAAATATTAAAAGTCTTGTGAGAGCAGTTTTTTGCTTCTGAATCTCTCTGCTATTTTAGACTCAACTTAATGCTTAAGTATACGAAGTGAAAGTAGTTCAGAGTTATGAACAACATACTACATAGCGACTTTTTCAGTGTATTTATCATTAAAGTGCGACATCCCAGTATGTACTCATTCTGTCGATTCTTTCATTTTTGTATATTTTTTCAGGTATGCACCGTATCAGCGTTTAATGTAAATAGACACGCATCTGTAGTCAATGGGAACACCAATTTGAGTACATATGAAGACATCGTTGCTCCTGATTCTTGCACTAATGGGTTGGTATTGCTCGTAAAAGCTTTATGCAGAAGAAAATTGGATTGGAACAGTTTACTGTTTGGAGCAGTCCAATAGTGCAAATTGTCTCCGTATTTTTTTTCATTTCTCGTACATTATTGATAACCCAAAATATTCTCTCATTTTGCAACGCAAAACTATGACTATGAAAATTTCCATCCTTTTTTTGTCTCAGACTTCAGGAAGTAGATTTATCTCTATAGAATTTCATGATAAATGCATCGATAACACTTATAAATTGGAAAGTAGCTCTCATATGATCTTTTCCAGAAGATACCCTTTACGATTTAGTTGGTTTTCCCGACTTTTTCACTTGTTTTAATACTTTGACTTCGATACTTCTTGTTCGTATCATTTAGAAATCTGCGATTTTACTTTCAAATCTGTATTTGAAAGGTTTTAGATACATGAAACGCGGTTCATTGGTACTATGTTAGCTATCTACCGATGCACTGTAGCAAAATAAAGTGTCACTAGCTGAAATCGACTTCGCCTAGTTTTCTAAAAAGTTAGTGTTGCTCATTTGCATGGGCATTGTTTGAGAAAGGATTTGTGTTTTCTTTTTATTCATGTTTTGTAAAGTTAAACTTATAGAAAGAGCTTCAATACGTTAAAGAAACAGGAAGTAAAATATTTCCAGCTATTGGGAAAAATAAATAATACGTTTTTTCCGAACACTCAATTCTTTTGATGAACTAAAAATAATTTCAATGTTTTTACTTTCTGTAAAAATTCATTCTAAGTGAGAAATGAATTTCTCCGTTAATCTTATTACTACTCTAGCACTAACTAAAGGATTTCGGTGTTGAAAGATTTTTAAATATAATTTCAGAACAATTTATTGAATTAAAAGTTAATTCTGTGGAGTGACGTCGCAATCAGTTTGTATATCAATATCGTTCATTCTTTTATGCACATTTTGTTGCATATATTGATCTTTCGTGGAAAAATCAGAAAATATGCCTTTGCAACATGAATTTTTGGTATTTAGAATATAATATTAGCTGGTTTTCAGAATATAAAAATGTGTATTTTAGTACCATTAAGAAAATAATTTTTGTACACGACATTATTTTGTGATTTGGCGGCTGAAATTATTGCTTAGATACCATATATTGTAGGAGTAATAAAGAATTACTGAAATATGATGTAGGACATGATTGTTTATGATCAGATAAATTAAAAAAAAGATTTTCTTTCAAATCTTTGACAGTGGCTTATTCTAAATATGTTTCTCTCTGTGAGACTGCTAGAAATGTATGGTTCGTATCATTCTCATGGATTAGTTGTAAGTCGTCATTAACATTTCATGCTGACTGAAAAACTTCATTTTTAAAATAATCTAAAGCAAAACTCTGGAATACATTGTAAATTATAGTACCTTTTTCTAATTTTATGGAAATGCGACATGCGGGCGACTGAAAGTTATATTCGAAGAAAATTTTGAAATTGTTTCCTTGATGACTTTGTTGTAGCCATTTTGAAAATTGATATTTTTTGCTTTGTTATAGTATGCATCAGCACATGCTATCAGTAGATTTGGCATGAACATGTCAGACTTTTAAGTATTAAGAGTGTTTTTTCTCTCAGGGTGTTTTTCTGCTTACAGTAGATGTTTACTGCTTTCTAAAACCTGTGCTTTGTATTATTGTGCCGAACAACGTATTTCAGCACGCTGTAATAGAATTCTGTAGCGGAAGCGAAGGAATTCCGTATTAGGCAAAAGTTGTACAATACAGTGCCATTAGTGGAATTTTCAGACAACAGGCCAGAGAGAGCTTTGTTCTGCATGAGTATGTGAAAATATCATTGGAACAGGCATAAGAAATGAATGCAGAAGCAGTAAATGAAGCAAGTTATCTTTTTAACAATATCGAAACAGCGAAAGAGACAGGGAATGAAGGAGTGTTTGATTTGTTGTTTGACTGCTTTGTAAACATTTCGTGTACGCTGGAGTTGAGTTGTTATCAATGAAGTGGAATAAACATTTATCTGTGTTCGTATCAGTGTTCGAGTGTAGTATTCGCTACGATAATATATCGAAGACTGAGAACTATTGAGGAAAACTGAAGCTATTTCCAGCGAACACTTTTCATTGCAGTCTTCAGATTTGGTGCACATTGATTTTAAGCGGTTGTGCATAAATCAGTGTTATCTGCCTTGGCCATGTTTTGGTGTATATGTGCTATGGAATAGTTAATAGACTCGTGATTTCAGTTGTGTTCTGAGGAATATATTGCGGAGAGATAGAGAATGTTTAAACATTTGTACTGAATTCATTAACTTGTACTGATTCTACTGGATACGTGAACTAAATTCCGTTTTGATTACTTTTGTTTTTTCGAGGTGTTTATGAAGTGGGGAGATTTCAACATGGTCTCAACTGTTGGTTTGCGCCCCAGTTAGTAGTTGTACTTCGTTTAATGTTCTTCTGATTCATTAGACAGTGACCGATTCAGATTGTTTTATTCCGTAGATGATGTTGAGATTGCTAAAGATTAACTTATAGAATATAATATTGCCGAATTCTAGTCTCCAATTATTGCTTTGTTTATATTTCTTTGTTGTTATATAAGTTAGTCACTTTTCTTGTGCGATTTTCATCATTTTCAGTTTGATAAATGAATTGACGAAAATTGTGATTTCTTTGCTCTTCAAATAGTTCCTTATTAATAATATATATTTTTTTTAAATATATTTTTTTGCATTTACAGGATAATTAGTAGATGTTATGGCTGAAGGATGACGTTTTACACGGTTGGTGATGAGACTCCAACGTTATCTAGTAGGGATGACATTGAAGAAGTTATGCGGGATTGGGAAGAAAGGTTATTTTTTTGCCTTTTTTCAGTTCTAGAAGCTTTTCTTTGCAAACGTGACTGTGATTCTCTTGTTAGTTAATCGTTAATCTGTATCTGTTAGTCTTCTATTATTCAAAATATAATGAACGACGAAGGTTGTGGAATACAAAATAACATCTTTGAATTGCTAATTAATATTGGAAATTGATAAGTGGTAACTCTGTTTTGAAACTTCAAAGTACTAACGATTATTTTTGTCCGTTGAGTTGTTACACAAATAATATCTATTTTTTCATCTTCATTCTGATATTTTTTGAAATTAGATTCTTACTTTTCTATAGGCAGTATACTTTAAGATATTCCACATACTTGACTACTTCTATCTTTATCACAACATTCAATGTCAATGGTCGTTTGCCGGCGCTAGACACTATTCCCAATTGGTTAACTCGTGATGGGATATCTGATCCAGATTTTTACGTTGTTGGGTTCGTTCTTTCTGTAATTGTTTATGCTCATAGAATCTCATTGATCAAAATTAGCACACTTTTACTTGTAGCATTTTATGTCCAATCCTCACAGTCTTATGAATAATACTAAAAAAAATCTGGATTTATTAGAGTAATTATTCATAATACTGTCCTTACCACTCTTAAATTAACAATTCTATGACAGAAGTATTTTTCTGCTTGAAAAATAAAGTAGAGGATTTAAACAGTTTTGAGTGACGTTTGCTGTTCAAAATAAGATCTAATGAATGCGAGTGAAATTTTGGCATGGATTACAATTTCGGCAGTAAATTATTTTTTCTTTTTCCATTTTTAGATTGCAAGAAATGGATCTTTCACCGCAAGCTTTTCTAATGAATACTTCTACACGTCATTCGGATTGGCATAGTGTTGTTTGCAATTCCCTCCCTTCCGCCGGTTACTCGCTTGTATGAATTAATTTTTAAACTGAACTACATCTTAGGATTTTAGTATCAAAATTCAGTATTGTTATGTTGTATTGTATGCGTTTGTTATTTTATTATCGTTGTTTTCATTTACTTTTAAAAAGTGTACTTTTTCGCATGGCAAATTTCATTATTGTTTTTAATACACTAAACTGTCATCTGCCTTGTCCAGTTTTATTTCTGTTGACTCTAAATAAAAGTTTTCGAACCGTTTGTTGAGATGGTTATTTTCAAGTCAAGTGAAAGTTGAAAATATTTTCTTCCTTAAATGTGGATTTCAGGTCCAAGAAGTACGTTTAGTTGGAATACTGTTGATGATTTATCGTCGCATTGATTGTGAAGTTCGTGTTGAGAACTCAGCAGTTGATGTAGGAAGTGTACCAACTGGATTCCCGTTTTTAGGACGAATGGGAAATAAAGTAGGTGTTGCAAAGTTATTCTGCAAAAAAATGAATTGACATCAAAATTGCAATCCTAATATGAAGTTGTGTTGATAATTAATTGTTTAAAAATACCCGTACCACTGTATATTCATTTTATTCTTTCACACTTTTTTATGCAAGAATATGAAAAAGGTGCAAAAAAGTATATGAAAGCAGTAATTGTGCTAAAGAAAAAGTTCAAACCTAAATTTTGTTGCCGTCACTTTAGTATTAATTGCTGGGTATCACCTCAGGGTGGTGTCGCGATAAGCTTACAAATAAATGATAGCTATATTTGCTTTGTGAATTCTCATTTTGCTGCTGGGCAAGAAGAATTAGAAAAACGAAATCAGGATTACAGGTTGATTATGAATTGTATAAATTTAAAAGAAATTAAGTTTCAGGACTATAATTATAGAATAGGTCTTCTAAAAAATCGGGGTGATGAAGTCCAAGAATATATTGATTTTTAGGGAAATATCACAAATTCGTTTTCCAAAAAGCAATAAAAGCTTGTTTGATCATGATGTCATATTCTGGTTCGGGGACATGAATTTCCGTTTGGAAAATAATAGTAGTTTCTCGAATGAAGATTTTCGACGCCTTTGTGCAGATGAGGACGCATTTAGAGACATGATAGTATTCGATCAGGTAGTGTACTTGTGAATAATATCACATGAAATTTATTTTTACATGTTTATCGTTGTATCTCCGCCTTTCTTTCTATATATATAGAAAGAGACAGAGAGGCTCTGCTGAGTTGAGTTGCCAACCGGTTGAGCTGTCAGCTAGCCGGTAACAAAAAGCATGAAAGCAGTAATGGAAGAGAGATGGAAAAGAGCCGGGCCTGGAGTCGTAACTGAAAACAAATGGGAAGCAGATGAGGCAGCTGAATTGAGTGCTGTATAGAGACATTGTCGTTGAAATTAGACTATCAATTTTGAAACGTTTTATCCATGATAAAATTCTATTATTTAAATTTAGTTCGCGACCTCTACATCATTAAATATTTTTTACAGCTAAAGAAGCAGCAGAAACTAAATCATATATTTGTTGACTTTAAAGAACCAGATATAAATTTTCGGCCTACATATAAATATGATCCTGGAACTACGAGATGGGATACCAGGTTTACTTCATACATGCATTTATTGATCTTTATAGATCGTGTAAAAGTTGATCTTTACTTTTACACGACACTATAAAGACCATAAATGATAATAAAATCAACTAGTAAAATAATTATACGTTTTAATTATTTAAGAAAAGATTATCTTTGTCTTCTTTAGTGAAAAATGTCGTTGCCCAGCTTGGTGTGATCGTATTTTATGGTGGAATCGTAATGGGGTAGACATCCGACAGCAGTTTTACGAAAGTGTAGAATCAGTAGTTTTTTCGGATCATAAACCGGTGCGATCTGGGTTTCACGTTAAAGTCAGAAATATCGACCAGATGAAACGTATTGCTTGTTTTGAGGAAGCTATACGAGAGGCGGATCGACGTGCCAATGAAGCACTTCCACAGATTGAATTGTCGCAAAATGAAGTAAACAATCTTTCATTTTCTCAATTGATAGGTGCAGCAGGTCTCCATAAATTATATTTTAAATAATAATAGCCATGTATTTTCATTTTCATGACGGAAGGAACAAAAAGGATTGGTAATATTGTTTCATTAAAATAACACTGGTTCTAGTTGATTCTCAATTTAGTTTTTTCAGGTTAATTTTGGTAAGGTCTACTTCTTCCAGAGTGCATTAAGAATAATAACTATCAAAAATACGGGCAAAAGTAATATATCATTTTCGTTTGGTGCGCGACCAAATCGTGTAATATCTTCTGATTCATGGCTATCTGTGACACCACCAAATTCAAGGCTACAACCTGGTGCCTCCTGTGTTATTAGTTTACAGGTGTTTCCAAACAATTCAAATAGCCTGATTTTTGTACATGATATTATATGATATTTCTTAGCATAAAATGAAAAAGCCATCTGAATATATCTTATTCGTATCTATTTTCTTACTTAATATTTCTTATGCATATCGTATTTAGGTAGTGGGTAGAATACAGGATTTGTTCATATTTAGGATATTGAAAATTTAAATTATCGTTATACTGTTAAAATATAGTTGTCACACCACATAGTGTTTTCTTATTTTTATAGATTTTGGTCGATAAATCGGCAGCATGGGTAATAAAAGAAGATGGAAAGCTGTCAGAAATACTTGTATTGCGATTACATCGTGGTAGGCATTATTTTGTCACTATATCAGCTGAATACCAACACAGTGTTTTTGGTTCATCATTCATCCACAGAATTCGTGAAGAACAAAGTAAATCTGCAGTTCAACTCGTCGATTTGGTATAAGATAGATTGCATATTACTATGAATTATTTTTGGAACTTTTGATGACAGTGCTTCTGTTATTATTGTAAAAATAAGGAAGAAATTTAAATTTAAATGCTGTCGTGGGAATTAGGTTTTAAAACGATATAGTTCATAGAAATTCTGATTTGGAAAACATTAGTAATTTAATTGTGCAAAGGTAATTGAGTACTGCACTCTTGATTTATTGAACTAATTGTTTAGTTTTTGTTTGCATGAAATAAAAGGAATAGTAATTTGATGTATTCTGGGGTTTTTTCTGGACATATCTCGTGATGTTTTTGAGTGTATCTCATTTATTTGAGCATATTTCGTTGCAGCAAACAAATTGCTGTTTCTCATCACAATTGATTTTCAGACTTTCAGTCCAGCATCATCTTCTTCAGCTGTCTTGGTTGGTGTACCACATGCTGTCTTTCGTATTTGTGAAACCCTTAAACAGCATGGCTTAAAAAAAATTCAGTTTGATGATGTATCCGCACATAGCGAATTTATAGCGTTAAGAAATGCTTTGGATACAGGAGTGCCGATTAACCTTTGTAATGATTCCTTTATTTTTATATTCTTGATTTTGTTCCTAGAAGTTTAGTTTGATTTATAATGTCCATGAAATGCAAGAATATGAATTTTTTAGTAGATGCTTGCAAATCAGTATTCAGCATGTACGACGTACTGCTTACTCTTATTACTTCTTTCAAAGGTATGTTTTTTATTTTCATAATCTGGAAATTGCTTACTTCACAAAATTAAATGTGGTCTTAAGCTATCAGGAAAGATTCTCTAAGATGCATGTTGAAAGAGGATTGTAAAGGCAAACATATATCTATTGTTCATCTAATAAAAAATCTTTACTATGTGTAAATTTTAAAAATTTGCATGCGACATTAGTCTTCTGTCATTATTCTCGTAAAGAGTTTCTGTAGTCTGCATACGTGTGGCAGCTAAAGATTCCACTTTTATGAAGGGCGAAACTTCAGATTATTACATACGAAATGCAAAAAGAATTATATCTGGGAATTTTAATTTTGATATAATGAAAAATTCTTGTGTTGAAGATTTTATGTATTTCATTTAAGAAATAAGAGAGTGGATGATAATGGTTGAAATATTATGCAAATTTTCTGATTGCATTCTGCATTTGTTCATACCCACACTAAAATGAGTGCTGCCACTAAATGATGTGTTTCATTTCTATTCCGAAAATTATCAGTGATGACAATAATTATAGAAGTTTTCTCGTGTTTTTTTCCTGCTTTAGAATCAATTATACCTTTGAACTTACAATTGGAATGTATGAAAGCAGCAGGCAACATCGGGACTTCTTGGTCATGTGTTGAGAAGTTTCCTATCGAAAATCGTAACATGTTTATTTATTTTGTTGGCTTTGTGACCGAATTGATGGAGCAAAATAATGCTGCAGAAGGTTAGTTAACTGTAAATGAGATAGATTTGTAGCTTTATATGTATTTTTGTATTATATGTTTGCTTTGGTTTCAATATGGGAATTAGAAGTTGTTGAAAATCTTTAAGTTTAAATTAGATTTATTCAAGCTTTGATAGTTCGTTTTTAGTATCATTTTAGCAATTTTATGAAATTGTATCAATTTCTTTTAAGGAAAAGTAATTTGTACAAGAGTGAAAAGGAGTATAATTAATTGAAAATTAATAGTGCATCATGTACTGCAGTTTAGTTTACAAATTAGTACAAGATTCAAGTCTTGGCTGTAACTCTAAAAAAGCGAAAATGTGTCTATTGTAATAGTATCTGTTATGTAGACCTAAATTATGAAAATTATATTCTATTTTGGTGCTAACTAGCAAGTTTAAATAAAAGTTAATGAAAGCAAGTGGAATAATAACATATTTTAAAGGTATTGTGCAGTTGTTCTTCTATAAGAAAAAATGTTGTCCACTTTGTAATTTGAGAAGTTCGTAGACATATTATCTTTCAGCTCAAATGCAACTTTTGGCAGATATTTTATTCAAACAACCGCCTGGAGAAGATGGTTACTTGAAGCGTTTGAAATTCTTAGAAACAATTGTGTCACACACTCGCAAAGATAATCAAAATACTTTTACATCCTCTTCAAATTGCCAGCATGTTGGTGATCTCATTGTTTTATAGCTATTTTTGTTTGCCATTAATGTAAATTCTTGATTTGAAAGAGCAAAAGTGTAAAAATTATATCTTCTAGTTTATTTTAGCTTTTTTCTAATTGCTATTTATTACATCTGCATTTACTATTCATTCCGATCAGTCTTTTCAGTAGTGTTTATGTGGAAGTGAAAGTGACAATTATTATTTTTGCTGAATGCAAAAATATCATTCGCTGAGAATTCAGCGAATGATCGAAAATGAGAAGAATGTAGTCGTTGAAATTTTTGCAACATTGGAACTAATTCATTTCAATAGCATGAATAATTTATTTAATTCTTTTTGCTCTTTTTGGTGCTATATTTTCGACGATTTTTTATTGCACGAATTTTGTATTATGTAAGTATGACGATTTTTTTTGGAAATAGTTGATGCGCACTGAAATAAACCTTAATTTCTTGCTTGATGGTATCAGATTTATTATGATTAATGGTTACAGATTGTATTCGCTAGCGTAATTGCTTGCAACGTATCGTGTTGACAAGTCTTTGCATTATTTTAAAATTTTCATTCGGTAGAGGAAATTCTTTAGAAGAATTACTGGGCACTCTTTAGTTTGTGTTTGTTGTTTTTTGTAAGCATACTTTTTACATGTTATTAATCATTGTCTGTTTGTTACAGATGAACTAAATGTATTTATAACTATTTTTTATGTCTTTAAGCATATGTGTCCCTGTTTTTCTGTTCCTCAGAACACTGCATGTAGTATTCGTATTATTATTATTATTACTATATATATATATA